CCATATGGATAGGCGGTTGAGGTCTTGCTGAAGTAGGCCACAGTAATCAGGAGCGTCAATTTCTCTCCAAATCTTCATGTCGTCCGCAAACAAGGTACACGGCGATCGGAGAAGCTGCGGTAGATCGTTGATGTGGATCAGGAACAGAGTGGGCCTCAGCCCAGTGCGTTGAGGCACGCCACTTGTAGAGGGATACCAGTCAGTTAGACGGTCTTGGATCTGTACCCTGCACTTTTGTCCAACAAGGAAGTCGCGGATCCACCGGTGCAGTGAGTCACCGACGCCACACATCCTGAGTTTGTGAAGGAGAACCTCATGGCTGACCTGGTTGAACGCTTTACTGAAATCGATGAATAGCACGTCGATAGACTTCCCCTTGCTTATTGCCTTCAAGCACTCATGCCTCGTCACAGGCAGGTTTGTAATGCATGTGCGACCTTGCATAAAACCGTGCTGTGCGGGTGTCAGAACCTCGTTTGACTGTAGCAACTGCAGCAATGCCTTCTTCACGATTTTCTCAGCAACCTTTGCCAAAATAGGTGTCAGACAAATTGGCCTGTAGTTGTCTATTTTGCTAGCGTCGCCACCTTTCGGAATAGGCTTCACCACCGAACATTTCCAGTCAACCGGCAACGAACCTTCGGACAGCGACCTGTTGAAAAGGTCAGTCACGAGAGGAGAGATGATGGTCGAAAGTGACTTGAGAACCAGTGGGTGAAGCCCATCAGGTCCGGCAGATTTGGTGCCGTCAAGGTTGGCGAGTAGTTGAGCTATCTCTTCAACGCCGCAATGCAGACTATCGAGTTCGATAAAAGCGGTACACGTCGAACTCGGAACAGACACCTGGTTATTCGCAAATACAGAAGCGAAGTGCGCCGCCAACGCGTACGCACGCTCAGTGCTGAAGGTTAGGGGTTATCAATCCGAGCCATCCAGCACTGGCACATCACCTGCCGGCTTCAGGCGTCGCTTCACGTATGCAAAGATTCTCTTTGGGTCGGTCTTCGCGGCTATTGGGAGCTGCTCTTCCAAATGCCGGCGCTTATTCTTTTTTATTGTAGCAGAGGTTCCGCTGACTTTTATACCCATCGTAAGCATTGGCAGAGCTAGAGAGGAGGAATTTGTCCCACAGTCTTCGACGCCTCCGAGCCAGATTTCCATACACCTTGTCAAACCAATGAGGCTTAATCGGTCCAACATTCCAACATTTCAATGGCGCAAATTGGGAACATGATAATGTCAATTGCCATTTTATAACTATCCAACAGTCTTCCATACATGCAGCTTGTGACAGATACCAATCCAGTTGGCTTGCGGCTCGAGTTAGACCATCGAAGTCCGTTTTCCAGTAGTTGGGAGCTGGTTGCAGCGGACAAGAATACGGTAAAGATAATTCCATATCCGCTATGAGCACGGAATGGTCGCTTGTAGCCAGGGACTCCAGGATCCAAACGTTACGCACTCCTTGTCCGTAGCACGTTGACATCAGTTCGAGGAGACAGGTCGGAGTTGAGCGTGTTGTTATGAGTGTTGGCTGGCAAATGTGTTGCGATGCACCAGTTTCAAGTACCAAATCCACGAACTTTGCTTCAACCTCACTATGTCCAGGCATCAAATGCACATCAGGCCATCGTATTCGAGGACAATTAAAATCGCCCATAAGCAGAAAGTGTGGACGACTCATGTGAGTTCGAAGCTGGGGCAGCTAATCCAAACAACGACTCAGTGGACTGCGATAAACTGCGCCCACAAGCAGTTCTACGCGCCTGAGGCGGACGGAGCACCACAGTAGCTCACACAAACCATCGTCACTTCGGTAGGTGCTCACAAGTCTCCCACGCAGGGAAGACCGGATGTAAAGTAAGACACCACCGTGGTCATTCTTTAGTCTACCGCATTGGAAACACGAGTAACCGTTGAGTTCAAGTCCTTGGGTGTATAACACTGTATGCAGCCATGTCTCTGGGAGTCCCACTACATCTGGCCGCTCAGACGCAACGAAACAACTAAACTGAATCACATCCGCCAACCTTGCAATAGTTCATAGGGGCCTGTGACGGAGACAACAAGACTTTTCATTTGGGTTTTCATCCCGAAGTATAGACTTCACCGTCATCATGAACGAGTTGCAGTGGAGTTGTAATGACAAAACAACTTTCACGGCCACTCCGATACAAAGAAACGAAAAACTTAAATATATAAGCATTTTTGTTTTTCTACCACACTCAGTCTCGTATCAACTCGTCGTTCGAACAATTATTTGTCTACCATTTGCACTTCTGTATTCTAATTTCGTCTTTTCTACCGTTTATTTAAAGTTCAACCCCTCTATTTCTCATCATGCTATAAGAGCTTGTTCTATGGCATTTTAGGAAGTTTTGATTCGAGCCACACAACTCATGTGCTTTCATCTCTTACAATGCATAAAAGTACATTTGTTCACGTGAAATCATCTGTCAGTGTGTGTCTGGTGCCCAACTGTACTGCCAAGTAGATCTAACAAGCGTCAGATTCTCCTGTTGAAAAAAGTCTTACATGTAAATGTCAAATCACTAGTGCTTATATGGTCTCCTTACTGGCAAAAAGAATTACCTTATTAGAGGAGCAATTAGCTGAATAAAACATGTAACGGTCATGCCTTGATTCTGTTGTCGACTGCTTTTCCTCTGTGTCAGGCTTGATTGACTTGCCTTTAAAACTAGAACTGAGGCATTCGAAAGGGGTGACGGAGTTATTCAATTTTATTGCATCTGAAGTTACCGAAAAATATAAACGTGATAAAATCGTTGTTGTCTTCAACATACCAGAATATATTCAGCTTACAATTTCAAGTGTATTGTTGTAATGAGTTGCGACATACTTGACACTGACAACATTTGCAAAAAGGTTATTGATAAACCCTTAACTCATACATGTCTAACACCCTTTCGAACTAGCTGGGTTTGGAGTCCCCGCCGTGTGGCTGCACTGCGACACGCAATCTATATTGGGACGTCCGTCATTTCGATCACTGGGACCGTATTTGTAATGGAGCGTTTGTGGTGTTGTTCAGGCTATTTCCACTTGATGAGACCAAAAGAGGACGAAATTGGTCTTGGGGTGCCAGTGCTGACGGGGAGTAAGACCGAATCCCTCCATTTTGCAAGTTGATTTATTGAAATCCAAAACTCTGAATTCTGTTCCGCATGTTAGAAAGGTGAACATTTTTGAAAACTGGACACCTCCGCAATATCATGCTAACTCTTTAATTAACCGCAGCTGCTTACCACTGAAACTGACGACTGAAACAGCACTGGGAAATACTTGCATTTGTCGCATAAGCAAAGCTGCAGAGCCAGACGACTCTGCAACCGCTAGTGACACTTAGAACGTTGTGGATTTAATTAATAATAATAGCTCCAAGCATAGCCACTGTATTTGATGACCAGCACTAACACGTCAATTCCTACTCTACCGAGCAGGTCGCTAGTATATAACGGAAACAGGTTGACTATAAACTGATGAAGTGCGAGGCTCATGTCTGTTAACAAATACCTACCGACCCAAAGCAAATGAAAATTCCCTTCCGCTTTGTGTCCTGAGAAATAATACGAGACCAAAAATGTTGCGGAGCTGACACGCACAATAGTTACCAAAGCTCGTTAACGTACGCCAGCTAGTGCGCTACACATACTTCATGTCGAAAGCATTTCACTTCTGACAAGCTCCTTCATGTCGCCGGATTTAAACCCCATGTTACCAATATGGTTGGAATAGCAATAGTCAGCCGTCACTAGGTAACCGGTGAATTCCTAGGGCGCAGATGATGTGTCCAGGTCCTTTCGTCATATGGTCTTTAGCTTCTAGGGTTACAATGTTCGGTAATCCTTCGTACCTCCTTCGGGATTTCTTTGAAATTTGATGAACAGTAGCAACACTTGCACTTACTCACAGTGACACCAATGCCTTCATTCAAATGATGGTTCTTCTGTTCTTTATTTCAGTTTACAATTGGTCTGAGTCAATAACATTATCTTTTTAAAATCTTCGCACCAGCTTTATTATTTGTAATGCGCTTTGGCCGAACTGTGACCGGTCTATCACCAGTGCATATAATTCCCTGATCATGTCACTCCATGTGTTCCTCTCTACCAATCGAGCAGTATTATTATTAATTCGAATCCCGCTGTGCCTCAGAAAGAACTTCAAGTCAACGAATATCCCTTTAAGTGCAAGTAATAATCTGATTTGACCGGTTAATTGAAATAGGCCGGGAAGACAGATAATTGAGCTAGAACCTTGTATTTGATTGTCTACCAACTCGAATGGCCAGTTGAAACATTATACATGCTCAACTCATTCCGCATCTTGGCTCAGCTCATGAGACCTAGGTCAATTCTGACTGCATTCAAACGTTTATGATTTATTCACTCGCGTTGTTATCCACATTTAAATGTCTTCCACCAATGCTGTGGGCGTACCGGAAGCAAACGAACGACTTAGTTTTATCGGCTACACAATGTCACTTTTTCCTTTCACTTCCGACAAGACTTTTATTAGGCATTTGATAAATCCAGCTTGAGGATGCACGGTTAAGGGCATTTCGGAAGTGGGGATAGTCAGATACCGAGGCAAAATTTGGCTTGTTTAGCCTCAGCTTGCTTCCGCTGCCCTTGTCCTGACAAATCGAATGACCTGACTTGACCAAGCCAGATGATAGTTTGATTCTGATGAATAATGAGCGCAGCCCTTCGGATGATGTCCTAGATTCAGTGCTGTCTACACTAAGAGTTAAATTAAAGAAGAAGCTAATTGTGTAATACTGTGTTTGGGCGACTAGCAGTACATTGCTTCTATAAACGGATTGATTGATTTCTTCCCTTAGTTTCAGCTCAAAATGTGCAAAGCTGTATCTGTTATTTCGTTTCCAGAGGATCTTCGTTTTTGCGCAACAATGAACCGATGCTTACATACCACATGAATACGGAAACCCTACTGGAGTTAAAATACTGGTTCAAAGTTTAATCTTTCGCAATTTGATGATACGTGCTGCTTACCTTTAGAGCTGCCATCCGTGGTAAACTGGAGTTCCGCTGATTTACTGCAAAACAGGACAGTTCGTTGTTCGTCAGTCTGCGCAACTCAACTTCGTAACAAAATCCATTTGCTCCAGTTCCCAAAACACACTTGATGGTAATGTTTATGTCGGAAGGAGGCTCAGGACTAATAAAACCAAGGAGTCCGTCTGTATCCGTTTCGCTTGTATGTTTCTCTGAAGTTACAACGCAAGGGCTGGACGTAGATGAAATAGAGATCAAGATGTCGCTCAATGGACAATTTCTGCATAATATACAATGTTCAATGTGTTAAAATATGTTTGGAACCGGTCGCGAACACATTATTTCATAAATTCCTGAAAGCAACTACTTGGGGTATTTGAGGATTGGCGTCTAACAGTCAGCACAAACTCTGTCACGCCAGCTGAAATGATCTGGGGTTTATAGCAAACCAAGTAGATAGTTTCAGAGATTGAGAGCTGAGTATGAGGATACTTGTGTTATGGGCAAGTTCTTATCTCAAGCGGCACAGAAGGAGTGGAAAGATTTCAAGTCAAACGCTGTACAGAGCCAGTACATGCACATCTTCGTCAGTAATGAAAGCGGGGTTGTTTCGAGTTGCGCTCTCTTTCCCGGTTCCGAGCACTGATGCTCCTCAAGCTAACCACCACACATTTGACAGTTCCAACCAAGACATTTGGTTCACACAGCTGTTAATTTTGATGATTTTTCACCGCCTCCATAACTAACATTTTGGGTGTGTTGCTAGCGGCCCAGCAATAATAATCTCGATCTATCCAAGTGGATTATTTGAAGGATGTTTGTGAGTAGCGTAAGGTTGAATCGTGACTTCTACTTTCTACGAACGAAGTGGATTACGTGTAATGTGTTTAACGTGTTCACCGTTACCGCGTTATCCCTTAGTAGAGCATTTCATCTTCACAGGATCTTCTCATGTGAAACAGATAGGCGGCGATCTCAAAAAACACATATTCCGGGTGACCTGTGCTTTACTAAACTACCATATATGTGTCCACGCTTGTATTTGCCTGTGAAAGGGTGTGGGCCAGCTCCGTTGATGAAACGTGGCTCCCATCCACATGCCTCCCGGGCTTATTCCTTCGGGTTTACACTGCATATGTGTTTTGTGGTTGTAGCTGTGGGTGGTGCAGCATAAGTCACCCATGGTCCCTCTGTAAGCGCAGGCATCCTGTGGCTGACCACAGTGACAGGCAAATCCGAAACCGGATGTCGCCAACCATATATAGGTGTCCTTTGATTCGCGAAATTCCGTCGTTTTCCGGTTTCCCTTCATTCCTGTGAATTACGCAGTCAGAAAGGGCGATTAACGGCTACACTTTTGTACCATTACAGTGAAGTTTATTTATTTATTAAGACAAGTTAAACAATTTGAACCGCAAATGGCCATTTACTTAGGAAATTTGCCGAGAATAACGAACTGGGCAACTTATTGGATAGTAGATAGTCATGGCTATCAGTGAAACGCTAGTAATGGGAGAATCTAAGCCCATATGCACGACGCACAACAAAGAGTATGCAGTCGGCAATGCCGTCATCTGTGACAGCTCCCAGACTTGCCAAGCCACGCTGGACAGATTAGCACTGGTTGTTAGCCGCTTCGGGATTTGCTTCGCACCATGGAAGGGCAAAACGTTCCTCCAAGATTGGCTGGGACAGCCTCCTTCGCTGGCCCTTGGTAAAAGTCACCTAGAAGGCGTTCAGAAATTCAACTACATGCCAGTGTTGGGATGAGTAACACTATAATGTTTCTACCTGGGAACTTGTATCAGCGCCCGTGGGATTGAAGATGAGATCACGAACCGTATAGCAAAAGCTCGAGACGCTTTTGCTAACTTCGCCATTTATGGTGCTGGCGCGACATCACTCTCGCCCTGAAGGGTAGGGTGTACAATGCAGCGGTACGTTCGACCCTACTGTACAGTTGTGAAACTTGGCCCCTTAGATCAACGGACATAAAGAGGCTACTTACGTTCGACCATCGGTGCCTTCGAAGTTTGGCTCACATTTGGTGAGAATACCGCGTGAGCAACGAGCGTGTTCGACGCCTTGTTTACGGCACAGAGAAATGAATTGAACCGCTCAGTACCGTTATTTCACGCACCAGGCTCTGATGGCTCGGACACGTGTTGCGTATGCCAGCCTACCGACTCCCGCAAAGTGCATTGTTTGTGCGCCGGGGGTGTGGATGGAAGAAAAGGTGAGGTGGACAAGTGATGCTTTGGTCGGGAGCAACGAAGGCCCTCATTTCGAAGTTGGCCTCGGTTAGAGCTTCACGGCTCTCTGGTTGAGGACCAAAAGATGATGAACACGTTTGGCTAGATATACTTGCTGACGGCTAGGAGCGGACCTCAATGGCGTTCCTGCGTTGAGTTTCTTGGTCCTTCCCCATCCATTTTAGCTTCCCCCTCCAAGCACGATCTCATTTTGTAACATAATATAATAGTACAGCATGAGTTTTCTTGTTGCCTAATAGCTGACTGATAGCCTTCCGGAACGATGCCCATCCGTTGCTGGTAGTTCAGTTGGCGTGCAAAGGTTGCATTTTTTTCTTTGTTCTTTTGTGTATTGCGGCAGAGTAACTGAGGCGTTTTACACCTCTAGCTAATGTGTGTAATGAATGAATAAATGAATGAATGAGACAGTCGTAACATTGGTAGAGTTCAGTTTCCGGGTAACTAAAAAGTTTAACCGCGTCCGTCCAACAATCCACAAGACTACGCTTGCATGTACGAAGGCTAAACTGCGACAGAATTTCACATGAGGATGGAAGCAAATAAGTGACCCAAAACAGCGTCGTCCATAGAAACGGGCGTGTTTTAGCCGTAGCTATGCATGTACTAGGTAGAGGACATGAAGTCTACTTGGTTGCTGTAGGGCCGAATTGTGAACAAGCTCCAAATGGTTGCATACTGAATTGCTGGAAACTGTCAAAAGAAACACGTACGCGAAAAGGATGGACGAGATGACATGGTTGGACGCATGGAGTGTCGACAATGGCGTTTTGCTCACAAACGGATATCCAATGTGTTATGAACCGATGGGTCGTAAAGAAATGTCAAGAGTTGGGTCATACATGATGAGTGACTGAAGGAACGGCGAAGAGTCAATAGAGCAATTTCGTTTGAGACTTAACGATTTACTTGTTGCTTTATATAACGTGTTGCTTGTAAATGAATCTGTTTTTCTTCTGCGCCGTTACGGTTGTCTCAATTGAAAGCATAATAACCTGCCACTCTTAGCGTCCGTTTTTCCACCACATAATGTGAATTGCTGGGTTTATTTAATTAGAAAAGTAATTTGCATACCACCACTAATAATCGCGGCTGCACTTAACCTAACTACCAGTTGCTGCGAATACGGAAAACCGCTCATTGATCAAACTCAAATCATAAACGAATGATTTGACTCATCAGCTATCCAGTTTGAATTCAGTGGAATGAGGATGGGCCGTATACCGGAAGAACGTGCGATTTGTCATGCAGATCTGAGCCTCAGTAGTATGCATGCTACCAGCACGACAGTACATCAATTATACTGAGCTTCAGTGTTTGTCATTCCAACATTTTGGAAAATGGCCACGGTGCACTTGCCAAGCACCAGTGGAACACATGATACAGCAAGCATATCCGCGGTACACAGAACTCGAATCTGCCACAACCAATTTCCTGAAGGAATCAATCACTGATCCCGATATTGTTGATCTTTGTACACTGTATTTCTTCGGTGGCAACGGTTGTTGGTCCCTCCGAACCAATGTTCGCGGATGTCGTTGTCGACATTACGTAGCGCGTTTTCTGTTCAATCAAAGCGAGATAAGGTTCAATTAGAAGACAGTATGTTTCTAACTAATCAGAGGTAGATCAAATCGGTATCCATGTTTGGCGTATGTACCACTAGTTCAAGCACTGAGAGGTACACGCATAATTGTGCACCTGATCAACATAATGAAGGGCACCTCAGGTACCTTAGGCAGTAATTATCCGCATAGGTAGTAAACGATAGCCAAGTCCCAAAAGAATAGCTGCTAACCGAAACACCCCCAGAAAACAGTGCATGTTGTGCGCCTCAGAGCACAGCTGGACTCATGACGAAATACCTGCAAGCGAGCCATCCGTTTCGAGCAGCAAATCAACAGCAAGTTGAGAACCGAACAAGTCAGTGACATCCAAGATACAAAGTGGCTGACGTGATTCATACGTACTAATAATGTATAAAAGTAGCTTAAATAAATCACAATTGATTGATTCAATCAGGTTGGAACACCCATAGTTAGAAACTCCATTTTTAACGATGCAAAGGGTATCCAGAGCTGAGGCGTACTGAAGTTTGCTAACGATGCACATCGCATCACAGACCGTTTGGGTGCAAACCAACTGGGTATTCGCGCTTTTGGTTCTCACTTTACTTTTGTTGGATGGTATACTGTCGTTAGAGAAGATCGGCAATGGCCTCAATGGTATATTCCAAGTCCATCTTTGTTTACAATTCAAGAGTAAAGCAGGGATAGAAATGCAATCCGATTGATTGGGTCGCACAAAAGGACAGTTGCACACAGAATTCCAGTCATGGCTTAGTAGGTCAATTTCCCAGACAATGTAGCAAAACAACATTATTTTTCCTGCGCGGGCGAATCCATATCGCCTACTTCCGTTTTTGCTTCGCTACGCGCCCCGCTGCTTCAATGAGCCTTAAAACACCGAAATACTCGGAGTGAAAAACGTGTAAGACAGTAAACTGGTGGGGCACACATGTCGTTGCCATGAAAAGAAAGCAACTTTTGTTTGCCTCACAATAGCGGCCAGGTCCCATTGTTGGACACCACAACGTTGGCGGTGTTCGTTTACCGCATTATTTTTGATAGTAGTAATGTTGTTCTACGTGAAACTACGCATCCTAATGCTTCTGTTATTAATCTCCTGGCCCATGGTTGGCAAAACGTTTCCTACTCTACTCATACATGTTTTTGTAACAAGGTGGTTGCGATCATTACCGGGAACTGAAAAGTATTCGGGCATTCTGTGCACAGAATTTACAGTGGCAACTCCCATTGTTACGAAACTGACATTTATCATTACCGTCATCATCACATATATTTAGAGTTTAATTGAATGTGGCCGATTCATCCTTTTACTTGAAACCTTTCGGCGACCATTATGGTATGGGAGCATTCGACTGCGAATAGTCACGTTTCCAATTTTAGATCTCAGTAAGTCTATCGATATACGCCCCCGTTTATTACCGCAAGCCAAAATGTCCGAGTCGATAGCGTCTCCCATCGTTTGGGTTTTCGAAACGAGAAAGGCTAGTTAACAAATCGACTCAGTCCAGTTGTAGAAATATTCATCCTCTGAAAAATTCTATTCTGGACAGTGTGTGGACACTCAACTAGCGCTTACCGGTTGAGTTCGATTTGCATGTCTTTAAAGGTGGTGTCACTTTGTCTACCAAATCGGTATTATCCTCCTTCTTAATCACACTGCTGAGGTAAACATAACTGTTTTTGAATATCACAGAAAAATCACGATGAGGCATCCGGACGTATTGCACCAAGAATAATAGTGGGAGTCATAAATAAATCTCAGATGCAATTATAACGTTGTGCTTTTCTCTTATCCTCCACCTGTTGATTTGCTATAGTTTACTAACAATAATTACCATATCAAAACACTCAATCCAGGGACAGAATGAATCAATCTCTGTTAATCGTCACTTCAGAAACATCTCACGGTTGGTAGACGCGGAGTGAAACAGCCAGGCAAATAACAAGAGGATATTCTCATCTCCCCGACAGCAATTTCCCCGTTGTATATTCCTCAAAACACGTTCCTCATGTTGTGTTTACTAAATAACCTGTGATCTGTTTATCTCTCAATAGCAGCATTTATCTAATGGGAAAAACCCAGTGTCTTCTAATTAACTTAGCACCATGAAGTTATAGTGTTTCGAGGAATCTAAGAAGAAAACTGCCCAAGTGTCCAACACCCGCATACCTTGACGTCTGATGACTTAATTGACAAGCGTTTCCCATTTCACCAAACCGTATTAGCAGTAGGTGTCTAGGAACCTCATCAAAGCAACTAGCTACGTGCATGTATCTAAAAAATGTTCTAATTAAACATTTGAAACTGACCTGCTCGCATCCTTAGATTGAGCGTTAAATAGCTGTCCCGGTTTATCCACCTGGAAGCCAGCCAATTTCGACGAGGCAGATTGCACGAAGCTTTTCTCGTTTGACCGTAACATCCCGGACGTTGACACCAGGCATTCCGAGCTTTTCGTGTCTGTATGTACGTCAGTGACGAGAGTGGTTGATCGTGGGACTGGTGTGGAAGCCATATGGATTCCTTTTCCTTCCATCTCTGTCACTGCGTGGCAGGACAAGGAGTCCATCGAAGCGAAATACAACTTTGGGATCCAATTTTTAGCTTTCTCTCGCATGGCGACAGTCGTTTTCAAACTTCTCAGTCGCATCGGTCTGGCTGATCGTTTCTTCGTGTAACCACTGGCATCAACTGGTGAGAGCCCGCCAGAGGTGGTCGGGAACCGCAGGTTTGTTGCGCCATCTGGGAGTTGGTCTGCCGAAACTTGAATCTTCTCGGTACTCTTTGAGAAAAGTAATGACTTTATGCTTGGAATGCGGAGGATGTGTTCCGTGGATCTGAGCATTCGAAACGCGAAAATATGTCACTTAGCCTCTCCAATGATCTTTGTGGAAAATTTACTCTACTGATTCAACCAGCCAGGCTATGCGTCTTAAACATCACATGAGTGAGCAAATTTGGGCAGGCTTGTTAAACTAAAATTGGCAGATAAACACAGACTTGTACTTTTTCAGAAGCTTTGGTCACAGTCATAGCTCGGATGTAGTTTCTTCGATATGGTCTTAAAATATGTTAAACGCTGCCCTTCGCCCCATTGCTAATATTCCACAGACCATCCAGAAACGCAGTTGAGTACTTGATATGATATACAGTACCCTTTGTACTGAACCTAATTTCGAAATTGGGATGAATGCCCATTGAGCGGGCAAACCAAGGATACGAAAAAACTACCGACTTAATGGCACCTGTTAGCTCGGGTGAGCGAACTCTGTACGGACGAAAGCTTTTAGCTAATGTAAAAGCTCACGTGAATGGACCGCTGTCGCACTGGCCACAAAGTCAGGATGGAATCCTTGCAGCCTAGCCCAAACGAAAAACAGTGCGCTCTGTGGAAAACACGATTCGTATTTGTCCGGGACAACTGTGAGTGAAGGTATGTCGATTGATGGCACGGCTTGAACTACCGAATGAGCGAGCGAAGGTAACACCCGCCAAATGGACAGAACAAGAATCGAAGGTTATGCGCGCCGAAGAGAATCGCTGGTGTCAGATGGATAACCCAGGTTCTACGCAACAGTAGACTAGTGGCCCATGTGAACCAATGTATAGAGGCTGACTTATGGGATGCGATAAGGAGAAAAAGGCAGTGGAAAACTGTCATGTAGAGATGGCACTTCGGATTCATCTAAACAGTCCCACGGTTCATAGATGTGAGATTTTAATCGTTGCTTACACTTCGTCTTGAGGTCGGATTGTAGCACAATATCTGTCTTGACAACTTCCACACTGCTGCCACTTTCTTATGTACATGGTCTTGGCTCCACCTCCCTCTCATTACAGAGTACGTCGGTGGTAGGCGGTTTCGTAAACTGCACATGATCGGACAGACTCGTTTTCCTGGGCCTCAGTGTACATCTATAGAAACATTTGGTGGGAGAAACGGAATGTACACCACCATTGCTCTTTCTCAATGGCTTTTGCAGTGGCTGATCTTTGTCGTGAGTCATACGTGCGATTCAAATTCCTGCCGCGCGATGACCATTCGTCTGCTTTCCTCAACATCAACTTTAAACTGCCTCTTTACACCAAAATCTTACACACGCCAGACGTAGGTATTGAAATAACTTCGAAGCAATGGTGCACAATAAATTAGTTCTGCCATCGACCATGACAAAATGTAAACATCTCAAGACGACTCTGAGTCCATCTATGTGCCAGAACGAAGTACGCTGACAATGGGTCTAGTTACCCTCATACACAGTATCTCAAGAGAGCTAAACGAGCAAGAAAGGGGGATGTTTGTGTCTCCTCCATCCGTTCACAATTCATCGACCCTCACTAGCTAAATCAGCCGATGGCATTCCAAGAAGAATTTTAATTACTATGGTGCACAATGAAATGTCGCAACACGATATATGCTAAGCTGGCCTTATAGATTTTACTTAGCAGAGGGCGTCTAGGAACATAGGTCGTAGTCCTTCCATCAAAGAACATTGTGTTGATCCAGCTGCTTTCATTTATGATTTGCACCATCGTGGTTTCTGCTGAACTTCATAAAGAACGGACTCTGTTAGACCCTCACAAACCTATAAAATGAACAAACGCACCACAAGTTCGTCTTTTTGGCTTTGACAACAATACCGTTTAACTCACCCCTGTAATTCATGCAATATATACTTTCATCTTTGCCGGAGAGGGATTAAACGTTTGGGCAATGCCCGATACCGACAAGCAATGTCATGCAGAATACTACACAAGCCGGTACCTCGGGAAGTCATTAGGTAAAAACATACACCAGAAACTCACTCACTTTTATCTGCAGCACGGAGAACAAGGTGGATTTTCTGTCGGACAGATTTAATCAGTTATTTGCGATTCGTGTCTCTTATGATATTTCTGGTTGTTTTAACCTTCCAGTTCATACACAGGTTGAGAATCGAACAACTCTAGCTACGAAAATGGTGTTACTGTCGAATAGAATTCTGGCCGCGATGGCGTTAATTGAGGAGTCCACACGATACAAACCACTGAGTTGAAAGGTCTGATAAACATAGTCAGTATGATGATGTAAATCTGGATTAACACATTCATAGCGATTAAGGAACCTTCCTCTCTGTCGCCTGCATACGTCATGGTAAAAGCGTCTGCTACAGTATACACGTGCTGAGTGTAACCTTCGTGACTGAATAACTGAATATATACGCTTTTGAGAAAGTAGTGGCGGTAGTTAAATGACGCAAGGTAAATTCATCACATCCAGAGAAAATCGGGCAGACATCACAATTTTGTGCGGTTCTTGAACACCCATTTAATCCTCTGGCACTCAATCTGATCTGAACCCTGCCACTGAGAGTCAGTGATTAAAATCGCTAGGCCACGGGGCATAGCGAAGGAGAACATGATGTGATAAAGCGACGCACATTCCACTACGTTGGGAGTTACTGTAACCTAGCGACAGCGTAGCTCTCACCTCCCCAACAACCGCATCATCGGCTCAAGCTATCATTAAGCAAATGATATATTAAGTCTGATCTCCATGCGGACTACAAGAAACCAGTAGCAAGACTAAATGACTGATTTCGAATTCATAATATTCAAGCACAGTCGGACAATCATTGTACGGTCCTTTAATCCTTTCAGAAAGTGGAGAGTGAGTCGCGATATTTCCCATGTAATTGCTTAGTCATCTCGGTCGTCGCTGCTCACCTGTTTTAATCCCAGTATGTCTAGGTTAGAGTCAGGAGTTTTAAGTTCAGGTTTAAAAAAATGCATTTTTGTCAATCACGAGAGGTTGAAACGGCAGCTTAGTGCTATCCCGGCTGTTTTAGCGTCTGAATAAATTACGTGTGAACAATTCGGATATTATATTCTTGCACCTGAAAAATTTTCCCACTGTATTACTTATGAGTGGAAGGATTTTGGTGAGTATTTTTGTTCGCCGCAATCAGCCGTCTGGTGCTTTTCCGGATAGCTGGTCGACATATCTGAATTGCCGGCTGATTGCGACGAACAAAAATATTTCCCCACTGTATCTGTGTGGATTGCAAAATCGCATTCTCCTTCCCTAACGTTGAATGTGGGGTGCACATCGAGAGAACAACCCCAACAATGACCTCAGGAACGTCAACGGAAAAAGTGGTTGGCTACACAGTATAGCTTTTGCTCAGTAATTCTATCTACATGAAACATGGCAGTTAACCGTTTCCCAACTAAGCAGCAAGCGCAAGCACCTTCCCCAGTTCACGAGGCGGTCCTTAGGAAATGGAGGACAAACACGCTAACTGGCATACGCTCTAAAGCATAGTTCAGATCCAGGTCTGGCATTCAACGTATAAATTCGAACGAGGTTTTCTAGTTTATTAAAGATTTGATAGAACGGGCTGGGTCATGTGAGCAAACTGAATTATATGAAATCGATTTTAGGAGGTAAACGGTATACTGATTGTGGTCGAGGCGAGCAAAACCGTAAACTTCCACTGGCAAGCAACATAACACTATGCATTTAGTAAAAAATTCATAAAAATAGTTCACAGTGCGTTTCATCGCGTATTCCATATGAGGATCCAGGGTATAGATCTGCATATCTAATAAACTACGTGAGTTCATATCCTTATGCGTCCGCGTGTTCCGCAGGGGATTATAAAAATCGCATCAAACCAAATGTCCACACCATGACTTTGCTGTGCAGTCGATGATGTGCAGGAGTTCCAAATTTTAATAGGTGCTTCTCGCCATGCATAGCAAACCGTAGGAATCGCTTACTTATGTTTAGACGGATTTCTTAAGTTCAGTGTAATTAGATTACAAGAAAAATGTTGGGTATTTAGACTTCAATGTATGCCCACTAACCATACCCCTAGTACCCATTTCCTCGTTCAAACCTCGGCTAGTGTCTCGAAGGCACTAGGTTGTTGACATAAATGACGAAAGTGCACTGCTTCTTGCAACGATTCTCGTCGCACTTCGACAGCAAGAAACCTTTTCTCACGCGTGACTGACGGTGCAAGGATTGTGGATGACATGTCGACTCTGCGACTTGCTCCAGACTATTTTCATGCGCAAATAATTTTTTGAATTATAGTGTGTGTTTGATCATCTAGATTGAAAATCGAAATGTTATTACTCAGTTTAGCCCGGGCAGTATGGACAGCTGCGGCATTCCATGATTTAAAATATGCGAAGTCCAGACGAATTTATCGGTTCATTTACGTTCCGATATCGATATTGACAGTTTTCAGAACCAGGTGAATTAAATTCAATAGCAAACTGCCGTGCGGCACTAATGCGTAACATCACGCAAAACCGGCGAGCATCAAAGATAACAATGTTATCCTTGTTCTTTTAAACTGGCATTGAATGTTGCTTCTATGAGAAACGTTCTGGTTATGAAACTTGCTTTCCGTTTATAGTTTGGAGTACCTAGCATAGTTCTATTATAGGGTATTTTGGAAAAACTTGTCGCATACTGTCGGGAACCACAGATGGTGTTAAGTAAGTCCAGAATTCATAGAAGCAAAGTGTAAACCACAATTTCCGTTGGCATGGACAAAGGATTGCAGTATACATAAAAGTTATTCACGCATTGTTTGGTTTATCGTAACTAATCATAAAACTTACTTGCTCCATTTCTTAAAACCATGAACATTTTCAGATGAGTGTCTATTTCCCGATTCGTCCATAGTTTTCGCACGAAAAGAAAATTGGGATGTCAAATATGCCTTTAAGCCGTTCATGCTTTTAGCAAAACTGAAAACAGCAAAATGGAAGCATCTGCTTTGAATTGAAAGTCTCCATCAGTACACGAGAGATCCGGTGCACCTTGGCATAGCCCATACCGATAGGCATGTTCCAAATGAAGGAATAGAACTCACCCAACTGTAGAGGATGTGTATATAGCGTTCAGTTGATCGATTAACCTTCCAATCACAAGCGCTGGAGCGTTGCCGCGTACTGATTGGCAGACAGCTAACTGTCCCACGTCCGATGCCAGGTGACATTAAGCTTTGTGACGGAGGTGGGAGATTTGGGTCACCGTTCAAACTGCAACGATAAGCCTTACTTTATTCATAACATTTCTCACTTATGTTCGTGAATAGGTCAATTACATTCGTTTGATCACGAAGTGAAATCGTTTGTTGTCCTCTCAAGTTCGTGAAGTTGGCATCGGCTGTGATTACGCGTAGTCATATAGTAGCCTCATTGTTCGGCTGGCCTCAGTCAATTTGAAATGGGGGTGGATGATGTGGAAAATGTAGGCATGTGTGGACGGAAGTTCTCCCCAGCGCGATGACCGGGTGAGAATGTTAATATCTGAGGGCACCAACTACTGGCTAGGATGTAAGTTGCGCCAATGCCACGGCAGATAGTCGGTAAAGCAAATCGGAGTACTTCGGTCAACGATTATGACGCAAATGGCCAAAGCGTAGGCCCTTGCCGTGTTAACTATTTCGAGGGGCACCAAATTGTGTTGCTCATAGAATTGCCGGGTCACGGTTGTCTGTGGTGTGACCGGGAAGCCGCATGTGAACCACTGCACATCATCAAGCTGATCGGTGCTCACTAAAACAATGAATCAGTGATTCCTATCTGTCTCGGCAGTGCGGGATTCGACTCGCGACTAGTTACAGATCAACAGACACACAGTTGTGTTTCACAAACGATATCTCCCAACATAGGTGTATTGAAAGTACACTCCAACATGCGCTGACTAATAGAATTTGTTGAGTGTGCCAGGAAAAAATTGCTGAGGAAGGAGTTCCTCATACTCATGCAACGGCATCTGTAGATCCGCTTTTATCACCTAGCAGTCGTGGTTATTGTACTTTGGTTCCCGTCTCATAGATGAATATAACCAAATTCCAACGTGGAATTCGGTTACGATTTCCCAAAAGACAACAGTTGACAATATAATTATTACATCAAGATCAACTTGAAGCAACTCTTTCAGAGTCATTAACAAAATGCAAGCAATAGCAAGTAACGGTGTTTTCCTATTGCAAGCACAACCGGTTTCCTGCGGTACATCTCCGAGTATTTCAATCACTAACCGCAACATGTCGAAAGATGGAAAGAAACAATTACCTGTACCGAGCGTACTGTGCTCCAGTATCCTAGAATCAAATTCGACATCAATAAGAGGCAGGCACTTGGATGACCTCAACCAATGAAACATTATTAGTGACCTAATCGGAGTTTCACTAAAACCTGTACACGTAGTGCGTATTACGTGATACCCCAACTCTAAGCATTTCGGAGAGGCACAACTTCAGAGCGTTGTGCTGAACTCCCTCACTGAAGTAGAATCAGTACTACTGTTGACAGGTAGTCCCAGAAATGAACACTGCTCCGTCCGTATCTTTCCAGACATCCCATGGGGCCAGCGTTATTTAGTTAACCGCAAGTTAAAGGACTACCGGAAGGAAATTTCAACCAAAACCATATTTGTTCTGTGAGTACTACGCGGTAACTCGATTTTTTGGCGTGCCATACTGATTGAGCTTTTCAGCTGAAATAACGTGGAAAACAGTGTTTGAATAAACACTTGAAACGAAATTTGACTGTTGTCAAATTTTCTCTGATCCAAGATATCTTGAATCGATTAAAGTGGTACTGGCCAAAACCTCTTTGGCGCTTACTGGTAATTTTTCAGGTTGTTCCCAGTTTTAATCCCGTGTTGCACCCTGTTTTTGCCTTTTTATTGCGGTCGTTTTTCTATTGTATACGTGTTGTACTTCTACTCTGTTTTCCACATGAACATGGCTGTCTCGCTACAAACCGAGACGGATAGACCTATGGGGTCCTCGTTTGAGGAGTCTACTGCAGCTTGCGGACAGATTAACCGTTCAGAGCCAGTAACAGATTTATCTGGCGGTATGCAGTGTGACGTCTGCTGCCGCTGGTATCACGAAAGCTGTACCGGCCTACAAGCTGACCAGTACAAAATGCTATCATCAAGCGTTCATTTTCTTTTCAGCTGTGCTGAATGCTGCGCTCCAAGATCGACGCGCTCGGCTATCACCGGTGCTAAACTTTCAGTGCTGACTTCAAGGTTGGCAGATGTTGAGTTGGCGATAGCTAAACTGGCCTCTATTGCGTCGCTCGATCCGAAGATGGATTTGATTTTAAAATCCCTGAATATTTCGATTGAAGACACTGCAATAGACGGCAACATCGCTGACGCTCCATCCACTGGCGTCTGTCACTCGGTCATGAAGTCGCACCTCCTACCGGCCAATCCAGGTAGCATTGCTGGCGGTCCTCATGAGCCGATCAAAGTGAAGAAAAAAAGGGTGCGGAAATACCAAAAGCGCTCTGCTAAACTCAGAGAAATAGTTGCCATGGCATCGAAAATGCTGCCGTCTTTGACAGTCGTAAAGTCGTCTGACGATTGTACACAAAACCTTCCGAAGACGCTAATCGTCACGGCTGCTAGTGAACCAGCCCATTCTGACCAAGTACTGGTAACTGCTCAATGCGATACAAGGTCAACCGCCCCTGCTCCAGTGAACCAAAAGAAGAAGCGGACTAGATCTGCTCGTAAAACTTCGAATGGGCTTGAAGACCCAGGAACTAGTAAGACACCGGCAATAGAACGGAAAACCTACGCTACCGTTGCTTCGGTGTCGTTAGTGAAGACAGGGACAGTCCCACCGCCAGTGGTGAAAACAGCTGGCACTTGGGGTGAACACTCCCCGTCGTGCCGACTCTTTCACGGATAGTAGCGTGATTTTCCGTAACGTTACTGAATCTGCGGCCGCTCTCCCAAGGAAACGCATCTTGGATGAGATCAAGTGGCTGAAACTGTTTGTCAGCAAGCTGCTTCCACCTGTCTTCCCTGGTGTCACTGTCAGAAAGCTGACCAGATTGGGGAACGTCCCTATTGCCACGCCAAATCCACGACCCCGACTACTTCGCGTGGTCCTTTCTACCCCGGAGGAACGCAAATCATTACTGCGGTTTGTATTCAAACTTATGGGTAGTGGTGTCAGCGTTCATCCGGACCTACCACTGGCAGATAGATTGAAGTTAAAGGGGGCTATCAAAGGCCTCAAAACTAGACGGGCGGCTGGTGAACAAGGCCTCCGTCGGGTGGGTTTTCAGGTGGTCAGCCGGAAGTTATTTTCCGCCCTATCAGAACCCATCCTGATGGCGCACGACCCAGGCATAGTTGTGCCGACTTCCTTGAGGTAGTACTTAGCAACCTGCGTAGCCTAAGGAACGAGGTGCAAGAGTTGGGTCTACTTGTAGTCACATCTCGTTCCGACATACTTGCTTTCACTGAAACGTGGTTGTCTCCGGGTATCACGGACGGTGAGGTATGTTTACCTGGCTACGCGCTGCTTAGAACTGATCGCTCCGTTGGTCGCCAAGGCGGAGGCGTTGTACTGTATGTGAGCTGTAACTTAGGTGTGTTGAGGACCTGCACATTCCAGTCGTCGGATCAGACTGTTGAAACCCTGTCGGCTGTTTTATTTACTTCCTCCACACAGTTTACAGTTGTAATGATATACAGAAGTCCTGAAAGATCTTCCAGGGGGATACTTGACTTTATTCGCTCTCAGTCTGCGAATAAGTGTTTAGTTCAAAGGCATTTCAACCTCCCGGAAATCTGTTGGGCCGGTCTTTCTTGCAACTCGGCATTAGGAACATTCGGTGTAGACTTTCTTGAACTGACTCTCCAAGTGCCTTTGCACCAGTTCGTGGAATTCCCCACTAGGTATATGGATAACCAAATACCATCTGCTTTAGATTTGGTTTTTGCTAAGTCCCTGGATTTCGTGACTGACGTTACATACGGTTCCCCTATAGGGTCCAGAGATCCCGTATGCATATCCCTTCGATGTGCTCTTTCAAGGCACCAAGAGACCGCTGTTGAATTACTTCCGAATATTTGGCGGGCGGACTTTAGTGCAATGCGAGCTAAGGCTTCAGTTCTGAACTGTGAGATCTCGATGGCTGACTCTGTCCAGTTAGCCTGGGATAAATTTAAGGCATACCTTACGGAGGTTTCCACTCCCTATATCCCACTCATGAGGAAAACAGGGTTAAGGGCACAGCCTTCATGTATAGATACCACAGGCAAGTACCTACTCAAGAAACGGTCTAGATGCTGGCGAACCTACCAAACAGCTCCATCAGCCAGTACCTATGATAGTTATCGAGAGATTCGAAATAAATGTGAGCAACATCTCAGAACTGCTTGTCTCCAGTACGATCAGGGTTTAGCGGACTCGGCCGCAGCTAATCCCAAAAAGTTTTTGTTTACGTTAAAAGACGCAATGGGGCAAAACTGTCTATACCAGCGTTATTGCGAGCAGACAGGCTTGTATACTTAGTGATCAGTATACTGGGGTCTTTGCTCGGGAGACCACTTTACCGCAGGTTGAATGGGTTTCAGGAGTTCCAGAGGATTCTTGCTTAGATGAATTTAGCATAACGGAGACTCAGGTCTTCGAGCTACTGCAAGGCATTAATCCCTCTAAAACTACTGGTCCTGATTCAATTCCTCCGAAGTTGTCGCATGAATTGGCCACTGAGCTGAGTGGTCCTCTTACATGCGTGTTTTCAATATCGCTGGACAGCTGCATCCTACCTTCGGAATGGAAGGAGGCAATCATCTGTCCGATTTTTAAGGGCGGTGACAGCGCTCTACCCGCGAACTACCGGCCTGTCTGTTTGCCAAGCGTAGCAGTCAAGTTGTTTGAAAAGCCAAGAAAGGATTCAATGGAGAACC